TAATTAGATCTTTACAATCAATGTTATCTTTTCACCATCTGTGTTTTGTTAATGTGAAATTACATTGTACTTATAAGCAAAAGTTGGTTGCCTAGGGAACAATTATATATTCAGTTTAACAGAAATAAAAGAATATTTGTCTTAAAATGCAAGATTGTTTGGTACATAGCCTTTTGCCATGCATACATTATAAAAATTTTTATTTTCGGAAGTGAAAATTACTTGTGCTGTTTGAGCTTTAAGGGTTGGAATGTTGAAGTATAATATCAGCTCCTTAAAGAATAAGCAAAGTCATTTATTATATGTTTACCCCACAAGAGGGAATTTAGATTTACAGTTAACATGAAAATCATGTACCAGATGTCTGCAAGAATTCTTCAGCCGTCCTTATCCAGCTTCTCTTCACAGTCCTAATACATATAGCTTTGAAAAGACCTGGTAAGGATTTCTCCTTGGCAGCCTCACTTTCCCACATCATGGAAGTACAGGTTCGCACATATACATAACATGATGATAGAAAATAAGATATAGTAAATTAGATTTCTAAATTTTGGTTCTAAGTCTCCTTGTCGATACCAGTAGATAAGTATGCAGGCAGTAATACTACTCAAAGAAATGCAGACAGCAAAAAATATATTCAGTGGTTTTGGAGGTAGTTGAGGGAAAACAAAAGCACTAATCAGCGTTACTAGAATCAATAAGGATGTTAAGCTGCCAACAACTAAATTGATGATTCGATCCTTGGCCGACGTCTCCCCGAACAGAGGTCTGTTGTCCATGCCCCCAGTGCTGTAGGTCCTGGTAGAAAAGTCCTCCATCTTGGGGCTTCTTCACTCTCCCCAAGCCACTCAAAACGGAGCCAGCATTACCTCCCGCGGTCTCGGCCCCAACTCCCAGCACCGTCGACTCACAAAGCACTCATGGCCGCAGGCCGGGTATCCAGGATGAGGCCGCGGCGGCCCAGCCGCGCTCCCCTCCTCTCTTGATGTATTTTTGAATTCGGTTTGCTAATATTTTATTAAGCATTTTTGCATCTATGTTCATCAGGGATATTGGTCTGTAATTTTCTTTTTTTGTGGTGTCTTTGCCTGGTTTTGGTATTAGGGTGATGCTGGCTTCATAGAATGAGTTTGGGAGTATTCCCTCCTCTTCTATTTTTTGGAGAATGGCTCCAAAAAAGCCATTCTTTAAGGAGAATGGCTATTATGTCTTCTCCGTATGTGTGTAAAATTCCACGGTAAATCCATCTGGCCCAGGGGTTTTGCTCTTGGGTCGTTTTTTAATTACTGCTTCAATTTCATACAACATAATTTTTATTAAGGTACCATTGATATACAATCTTATGAAGGTTTCACATGAACAATATTATGGTTACAACATTCACCCATATTATCAAGTCCCCGCCACTCCACCCCATTGCAATCACTGTCCAACAGCGTAGTAAGATTCTCTAGAGTCACTACTTGTCTTCTCCGTGCTATACTGCCTTCTCCGTGACCCACATACATTATGTGTACTAATTATAATGTCCCTTAATTCCCTTCTTCCTCTCTCCCCATCCACCCTCCCCATTCCCTTCCCTTTGGTAACTGCTAGTCCCTTCTTGGAGTCTGTGAGTACGCTGCTATTTTGCTCCATCGGTTTTGCTTTGTTGTTATACTCCGCAAATGAGTGAAATCATTAGGTACTTGTCTTTCCCTGCCTGGCTTATTTCACTGAGCATAATACCCTCTAGTTTCATGCATTGTTGTTGCAAATGGTAGGATTTGTTTTCTTCTTATGGCTGAATAGTATTCCATTGTGTATATGTAGCACATCTTTATCCATTCATCTGCTGATGGACACTTAAGTTACTTCCATATCTTGGCTGTTGTAAATAATGCTGTGATAAACATAGGGGTGCGTATGTCTTTTTGAATCAGGGATCTTGTTTTCTTCAAGTAAATTCCTAGGAGTGGAATTCCTGGGTCAAATGGTATTTCTATTTTTAGTTTTTTGAGGAACCTCCATATTGCTTTTCACAGTGGTTGAACTAATTTCCATTCCCACCAACAGTGTAGGAGGGTTCCCCTTTCTCTGCATCCTCGCCAGCATTTGTTGTTCCTTGTCTTTTCGATGTTGGCCGTCCTAACTGGTGTGAGCTAATATCTCATTGTGGTTTTAATTTGCATTTCCCTGATAATTAGCGATGTGGAACATCTTTCCATGTGTCTGTTGGCCATCTGAAATTCTTATTTGGAGAAATGTCTGTTCATATCCTCTGCCCATTTTTTAATCTTATTTGCTGTTTGGCTGTTGAGGCATGTGAATTCTTTTTATATTTTAGATGTTAACCCTTTATCGGATATGTTGTTTACGAATGTGTTCTCCCATACTGTAGGATGCCTTTTTGTTCTACTGATGGCGTCCGTTGCTATACAGAAGCTTTTTAGTGTGATCTAGTCCCATCTGTTCATTTTTGCTTTTTGTTTCCCTTGCCCGAGGAAATGTGTTTAGGAAAAAGTTGCTCATGTTTATATTCAAGAGATTTTTGCCTATGTTTTCTTCTAAGAGTTTTATGGTTTCATGACTAATATTCAAGTCTTTGATCCATTTTGAGTTTACTTTTGTGTATGGAGTTAGACAATAATCTAGTTTCATTCTCTTACATGTAGCTGTCCAGTTTTGCCAACACCAGTTATTGAAGAGGCTGTCATTTCTGCATTGTGTATCCATGGCTCCTTTATCATATATTAATTGGCCATGTGTGTGTGGGTTTATATCTGCGCTCTCTTTTCTGTTCCATTGATCTATGAGTCTGTTTTTGTGCCAGTACCAAATTGTCTTGATTACTGTGGCTTTGTAGTAGAGCTTGAAGTCAGGGAGCGTAATCCCCCCAGCTTTATTCTTCCTTCTCAGGATTGCTTTGGCTTTTTGGGGTCTTTTGTGGTTCCACATGTATTTTAGAACTGTTTGTCCTAGTTCATTTGACATAATTTTTAAGTTCACATTTTCTCATCAGAAGGTGACCTGCAGTTAGTTACTGTATAGTAAGGTTTGGGGGCATTTGTTTTCGTTTTTTGTTATGATAACACTGCACACAATATTGAATATCTTTATAATGATCAAAGAGCATGCACATTATTAGTTGCTTTCCAGAAATTCTATATGAAATTATACTTCCATTACCAGTGTGTGTCTCTGAAGCTTTGGCAGAAGTGATCTGGAATTTGGTTTTCTTAAGATGAGGGATTTCTTCATTTCTTTGTGTTTTTTATAGGGGAATTTTGGCAATTGCTTGGAGCATGGCAGATCCTGAATTGTTGCTGAGCTGTGGAAAAGATGCCAAGATTCTCTGCTCCAACCCAAACACAGGAGAGGTATGGGGAGGAACTGTTTCTCAGACTTACAGCCTTAAAAATATTTTATCTCTAGGTGAATAAGAAATTTTCCAAATGGTTTCTTTAAAGCATTATTATAATTAAAGACATGTGAAAGTAAATAAAGTATGTGAAATGTTAATCTAGCAGAGATTTTATTAAGAACATTACCTAATAGCTATCTTCATCCAGGAAAATCAGTCATTAAAATAGTATATTTGAAATTAGTAACCATGTCCAATTCCCTGTTTCCAATAAAAGGTGTTTACCTAAACTCAGAAATACTTGGTTTGATTTAACATGTGGTTTCTGGATATCAGTATCTTCAAAATGGGAGTTTTCAGGTTTGGGTCTTTTTCCTGGTTTACCATTCCTGAAGATCCTCTCTGAGTTTTGGAAATCAGTAGATGTAGGTTTTTAATCTCTCTTCTAAATCATACAGCAAGAATATAGTATTTCATAATGTAATATTTGTCATATGTTCTACCCATGGAATTTTATACATAGGAAATGTTACCTTATTAAATATGAATGTTATAAAAATTAATTTTATTTGCCTTGGGTCATGGGCTAAAAAGGTCTTCTAACTAGTTGAATGGTTTCTGTCTTTTTCAGTATTGGGCAAGATTTTAACTACAGTTTTTAAACTTTTGTGTTTCCTAAATTAAGATAGTTTGTTGCAAGTAATTTGCTAGTTACCCTAATGAAATATTAGTAAAAATAAGAGTATCTTCAATAGGTTTTGATCTGTACTATTACAGTAAAAATGAGCACTTTTCTTATTTGATTGTGGTTTAAAGTTTTCAGATGTGGTGATGTTGTAAAAATATAGGAACATTGAAGTTAGGGGAGATGAGAAAAAATTAATAAGTTTTACCTCATATGGTTTATAGACCAAAAAAAAAAAAATCCTGCATTATACACTGTGCCTTTCCAAGTGAATTAAAAATTCCTAGAGATTACTGTTCTGATTTTCTCAGTTATATATTTGATAAAATGAATTTTTGTATATGATTGTGTGTACTTGAAGGAATAAACTGTTAATGCATGCTACAACTAATTCAGTAGATTTTTTAATTCAAATGCAAATTAGGAACAGACAAGTGATTGAAATACCACAAAGTTGCCAGGCTTATCAACCAATTTAAGCATCAGAGATTAGTAGGCTAAGTATAAAATAAATTTTTGCTTTTTTTTTAAGCTAAATTGACTTACTTCTTAAAGACATAAAACCTATGTTCCTTTGAGCATTAGTTACCATCACACCAACTTTGAGTTAGCAGCAGTTATTACAGCATAAGGGTCTTACATCAACCATTGTTTAAAGTTTTTCCATGTTCCTTTCCTTCTAAAGAAAACTGTGTATGCAGAATTCTGTTTCAGTTTTGCAGTAATGAGAATGATGTGTGCTTTCTGTTTCAGTTCTGCAGTAGTAAGAATGATGTGTGCTCTCTCACTTGACTAAAAGCCAGATTTCTCAATGAATTCTTCCTTCTCAAGATTATTTTTAAATTTGTTCTTCAGATAGTCTAAATATGGTTGTTTAAATCTTGGCAAGCAAAGCAGTTGGACAGACACCAATTTAGTGTTTACCAAGCTGGTTCTAATGGAGTGTTCTTGTCTTTCAGATGCTTCCACTACTATCATTTCAATGAAAACAGAAAAACCTCAGTTTTTAAGATGTATTTATTCCAAATGTGGTCAAAATTTTTAGTTGCATTCCTTTTGGCATAATAGACCATCATAATGGACTTTTATTATACTTCAAACATTTTCTGCATTTGTGTTTCCTGGCTAAAGACATTTTCTAAGAAAATATGTTTGATTAAGCTATACTTGCTGATCATATTTATTCAGGTATTTTAGCTATAAAGCAGCTATATCATTTTCTGACTTTTTTTTTTGCCTAGGTGTTATATGAACTTCCCACCAACACACAGTGGTGCTTTGATATTCAGTGGTGTCCCAGGAATCCTGCTGTCTTATCAGCTGCTTCCTTTGATGGACGTATCAGTGTTTATTCTATCATGGGAGGAAGTGCAGATGGTTTAAGGCAGAAACAAGTTGATAAGGTAATAATAGGAAATCTTAAGGTTTTTTATATACCTGTAATAATTCATTTTAGCATATAATTTTTGAAAATGGCCTTACTGATCAGTGCAGCTAATTGGAAAATTGTGATAAATTTTTCTTGTATATGGCTTGAAAACATGTATATGAGTCTTGTATGAGTCACAAATTCTCTTTTTTTTTTTTTAGCTTTCGTCATCTTTTGGGAATCTTGATCCCTTTGGCACAGGACAGCCTCTTCCTCCACTACAGATTCCTCAGCAGACTGCTCAGCATAGTATAGTGTTGCCTCTTAAGAAGCCACCCAAGTGGATCCGAAGGCCTGTCGGTGCTTCCTTTTCAGTAGGTGGATTTGTTTTTATGATCCATAAGTACAAAGGACTTACACTGGAAAATGTTATTAGATAACTTAGTTGGAAGAAGATTGAGTTCGAGATGTGTCTGGGGTTTTTATCCTTCAAAATGGTTTCTCAGGAAAAGTGGGACCTACTCCCTTTTTTCTGTTTTCTTTTTTTTTTATTGTGTAGTATATACATAACAGAACTTACCATTTTAACATTTTGTAATTTACAATTCAGTGGCATTAAGTGCATTCACATTATTTTGCAACAATCATACCATCCAACACCTCCTTCCCTTGTTACATTTATCTTTTTCTCATTCTCCTTCCTGCATTCCTTTTCTTTATTTTGGAGGAAGGTGTATCTGTATATCCTCCTTTCTTCTTTTGTCCCTTATTCCTATTTTTTTTTTTTTAATTGCCAGTTTCTTTTTCTTTTTTTGGTAAAACACATAGCATAAAATCTACCTTCTTAGTTATTTTTTGGTGTACAGTGCAGTATGTTAACTGTATGCATAATGTCCTCAAGGTTCATCCATGTTGTGGTATATGACAGCATTTCCTTCTTTAAAAAAACTGAATCATATTCTCTTGTGTACATACCATATTTTCTTTCTCCATTCATCTATCAGTGGACATTTAGGTTGCTTTTACCTCTTGGCTGTTGTGAATAATGCTGCCATGAATATTTATGTGCATATTATCTCTAAGATCCTATTTTCAGTTCTTTTGGCTATATACTCAGACATGAGATGGCTGGATCTTATGGTAATTCTATTTTTCATTATTTGAGGAACCTCTGTACTGTCCCATAACTGCTGTACCATTTTACATTCCCACCAATAGTGCACAAGGGTTCCAATTTCCCCGCCTCCTCACTAACATGTTATTTTCTGGTTTTTAGGTAACAGGCATCTTAATGGATGTGAGGTGATAGCTCATTGGGATTTTGATTTGCATTTCCCTAATGATAAGTGATGTGGAACATCTTTTCATGTGTCGGCCATTTCTGTGTCATCTTTGAAGAAATATCTGTTCAAATCCTTTGCCCATTTTTAGATTGGGTTGTTTGGTTTTATTTTTGTTGTTGAGTTGTAGGAGTTCTTTATATATTCTGGATAATAACTCCTTGTTAGATAAATGATTTGCAAGTATTTTCTCCCATTCTGTATATTACTTTTTCATTCTATTGATTGTTTCCTTTACCTACTGTCTATTTTTGGGGTTTTTTGCCTGTGTTCTTGATATCATATCTAAGAAATCATTGCCAAATTAATGTTCTAAGCTTTAGCTTTGGGAACTCAGGCTATCCCTTTACATTTTTATCATCGTAACAGATCATTATACACATCATAGAATTCTTTTTCTTTTTTAAAACTGAATGAATCATTTCCTCTGCAGTTACTATTGAGTTCTTGCCATCATTCTTCTATTAACCAGGTTCTGAACATTTCCTTTGGCCTCGTATATTCATTTCTCAGGTCCAGGTATTGATCTCTTTATAAATCTCTTAGATTTCTTTCTTTCTTTTACATTGCTGTTACTTTGCCTAATTCTTCATCTTTCCATATTGAACTGTTACATGGTTGCATGTCTATCACTATCTTTTCTGCCTCCAATGTATACTACATATTCTAGATTAATCTTCCTAAAATAAACCTTTGATTATGTCATTCATATATCCATTCTTTGATTTATTTAGTTTTCTTATTCCTCCTGTTTGATCTTTTCTACTATCTACACTCCTACCTTTGGACTTTTGCTTTTGTTTGTGATTTTCCACATTCTTTACTGAATCCTAACCATCCATCTAGTTAGTTTCTTATCTAAGTAATTAAAACATTTATTATTATAAAATTACATATTTACAAGGTTTAAAAGAAAAATTGTATACAAAAGCTGCTTTTCCCACTCCTAAAGATAAATCTGCTTGAGGACAGAAACTCTTATTCACAGGTGTGTTTCTAGTGCCTATAATGGTCCCTGACAATAAAAGATGTAGGCTGTATATATCTTTGGAATGAGAAGTGAACATCATCTTCCTCCCCTTTCCCCACTTCCACTCACTAGTATTGGAGTATTATAAAGACAATAAATTATATTCCTTTCTTCCTTACATGAGTTTGGAATCAAATGAGAGAGATATAGACTCAAAATACAAGCTTTAGTTCTGTCATAGCTAAATTGGAAGCTAAAATTCAGATTTGCAACCATAGTGGACCTTCTAACTAGAACATAGGCTCTATGAAAGCTGGGCCTCAGTCTATTTTGTTTGCCTCTATATCCCCAGTAAATTCAATAAACATTGTTTTAGCTTCTGTCCTCTTTTAGGCAGTCTTACCAATCTAGCTAAAGGCAGATCTAAGTACTGTAGGGCTTTCTTTGAAGGTACCGGCAACTTACCTACACAGACTAAATAGCTCTATGAAGGAAGATGATACACAAAAAGAAGCCCTGAAGAACTGGTAGAATGATGCTGCATTTCTTCCTTGGAAAACAATGCCAGTCAGTCCTTTCCCAGGAGAGTGTGAGGGACAAAAAGAGGCAGGAAGTGTTTTTCTGTGCTCATCCTCTTACAGAGTGCAAATGAAAGTGCCCTCTCTGTGGGCATGAGGGGTGCAATGTCACTGTCCCCCTCAAACATCTTTGGGTTACCATTATTGAAGTTTTAGAAGTCTTATTCATTTTTATGATTATCTTTATAAATGTAAATAATTCACCCAAATGTCCATGTCTTGATATTTCTACTTTATATAGTATTGAAACTCTTATGCAATATTAAATTAGTGTGTTTATACTTCCAATTTTTATTTCCAAATTTTTGTGAATTACATTATTATTTTTACATTGCTGAAGTTTAAAAAATCATTGTGTTCTATAGTAGTATTTAAGTTTTCTATATTTGTTTTCACTGATTTAAAAATCTGATGACTAACATTTGAATTATAATTATGTAATATTACACAGAACCAAGTAAATGAATAAACCTAATTATCTTGCTTTGAAACCTAGTTTGATTCTTGCTTCTGGTGGTATAGTTTTCCCCAACTTTCCTTGAACTTAGGGAAACCCAGTGGTTTTGCCCTTTTGTGAAGTTCCATATCATGTGTAGTATTATCTACTTCCCATTCAGAACTTATATATGCCCATTGTATCCAGTTTTATTTTCATGTTAATTCCTTTAAGGATTATGGTTTGTGTCTTCTTATGTTTTGGTATTTCCTACAAATCTCAATATAAACACTTTAAACATATTAGACATTTAATAAGATAAGTTTGTGTAAAGCACATAATTCTCCTTAAGAGTTCCTAAGTGTGAAGAACCAAGTGTGGGCTTGTGTTTCCTTCTTATATTTATTTCTTAAGAATATATTAATCAGATATTAACTGTCTTCTTGCTGCCTAGAAGACAGATATTGGGTACTGTAGGAGATAGAAGAATTAAGTAGACTCGGAGCCTTCCATGTAAGTGAAAGAGAGGCAAAACTTTGCATCTACCCTCCTAGGGTTTCCAGCTGGGCCTGAGAATTAAACTGACATCAGACAAACAGGAGAAAAGCATACTGATTTTTACATGTACCTGGGAGTCTCTGTAGGGAAATGAAGACTCAAACAAATGGCAAAACCAAACTGCTTACATACTAGGTCGAACAAAGAATGGCAATGTGGGAAGTAACTAAACTATATAGAGAAACAAAAGAGAATCATTGCTACTTAACAATGAAGTTAAGTTTGTACAGAGGTCTGTTTGTAACAGAGCTCTCTCAGCTGCAACTCCCATTTCTGGTGATAAGAATGTTTCTTTCCTCCTGGTACAGGGGAAGCAGCTCTCACATGGGAGTTCCATCTCTTGCTTTAAGGAAAAAAGGAGGTCAGAGTGCCTTTCTTGCTCCTGCTCTTTTTCAAATAGTGTTTAGCTCAAAATAATCCTTATGCCACATGGCATGTTTTGGGGTGGCGTATTCCACCACCCTTTAACTCAAAGCCTAGAACAGAAGGTAAGGCAAATACATAGAACTAATAGTTGAATCAGAAGAGATATGTGATATACCAAGGGCATCTGGGTTGGAGGAGGTAGCATTTGCCCGGGCTTTGAGAAGGAGTAACATTGAATATATGGAAGTTAGTCAAACAAGTAGGTGAGAAATTGTGGGGCACAGAAAATAGTACATTTTGTCTAGAAGGTGGGTTGTGTGAAGAGGAATACTAATTGAAAGCTAGGGTCAGATTAGCATATGGGAGAGTGTATAAGCCAATTTTATCCAAAGTGATATATTTTGGCTACAGTTCTTTGTTAGTAGGTTTACAATAAGCACAATTTTGGGACACATTTTTGTGGCTCAAAATTTGTTCCCTTTTTTCTTTTATAGTTTGGAGGCAAGCTGGTCACCTTTGAGAATGTCAAAATGCAGTCTCAGCAGGGAGGAGAGCAGCAGCAGCACTGTGTGTTCATTAGCCAGGTTGTAACAGAAAAGGAGTTCCTCAACCGATCCGACCAACTACAGCAGGTTGTGCAGTCACAGGGATTTGTCAGTTATTGTCAGAAGAAAATTGATGTTTCTCAGACTGAGTTTGAAAGAAACGTGTGGTCCTTTTTGAAGGTAAAGTTGGTCTTAAAACAATTTTCTTTCATTATCTGCAAATGTATTCTTATATTCTAAACTTGTCTTCCTATTAAAGAGAACAATTCAAAGAATGTGATTTCAGGAACCTCATGATGAAATTAAAGAAGCATTATGAAAGCATATGACCTAAGTTTATTTCAAGACTTGTACCTTCTTTGCTTTGAAAAGCCCAATTTGAAGTACTTTTTTAATAAATAATAAGCAATATAATAGATGTACTTAAGCCAGGGAGACATAACATTCAGCAGAGCTATTTTAAAATTAGAACATAAGGCTTAGTATAATAAAAATAGAGTATTTAATTTCTGTAGTAGATGCAGTTAAAGAAAATGGGAAAAGAGGGAAGAGTTATAGGGGAGAGAGACTGGGGGCATTTCTCATGTTTTACTGAGTTGCATTTATGACAATAGAATAACAAATCGAATTTTCTAGTTGGTCATTTTGCCTCCACTTGAATGTCTATTTCTTGATACTAATTTCCCCAAAAAAAGAGATCTTAAATGCAATACGGTTAAATTCTAAAATTATAGAATTTATTTTTATATTTTGTAATTAAGAATTCATTTTGGAAGTTCCAGGATATTGAATGTTTTACATACTGTGAGTTTTACATTCATACACCTTTGGACATGATTTAGTTTGTATTTATAAAAATTATAGTTTAAAAGTAAACTGTACTCAACCAGGATAATTAATTTCTAATATACTTACTATTAAAAAGTAACTTGTTTTTTAAAAAACTATTATTTGGATCTTTCTTACAGTGAACATTCTAGTTGATATAGCAGATTTAGGTATTTTTAATAATTCTACTTGGAATTTGATCATTTCATTAGAAATCAGGCTTTTAAATGCACGTCTTTGTTTTAAGAATATGTCTTTTTTTAAAGGTAAACTTTGAGGATGATTCTCGTGAAAAATACCTTGAACTTCTAGGATACAGGAAGGAAGACCTAGGAAAGAAGGTAAACTTTTGGGAAAGTTAAAAGGCTCTCCTTCTACAAGTAAAATGTTTATGTAGTGGGGGGGTATTTTTTTAGTAAAGTTCTACGCAGATTTTTTCAAATCATTTAGTAAACATTTCATAAGAATTTGTGTTCTGTTGCCAAAAGTTTTTGATACACATTGTTAAATGTGAAACTACTCATTATACCTGAATTGAGAAGCTGCCAGAACCACCTTTAATTCAAACTTGATCTAAAGAGCTGTGTCAGGTAGAATTGGGCCTTGAAAGATAAGAAGCTGTGAACCTTAAGCAATGAAAGTAACACTTCCATTTTAAGAGCATATATAACCAACCAGTGGTCCTGAGGGGAAAGGTAGAGGAAACAGTTAAGAGATCATCTGGTTCACTACTGGTTCACTAGCTTAAGTGAAAAATAAGGTACCATTTCAAGCAGTCACAATTTTCTAAGCTATTTATGCCTTTAGCCCACAGTTCCTAAACTGTGTATTGAGTTGGTCCAGCTAACAGGTAACTAGTAAATATGAAGCAACAGTAATTTATTATATTGAACTGGAATGAACAAAAAGTCTAAGTGGTTTGATTAATATTTTGACTTAAAAAAAGATTCCCTTTTAAAAAGAGGAAGTCATATTCCAGTTTCATAAATTTCTCAGAGAGAGGCTTGATTATTATTCCGCAATGTTGACATGAATAGCAGAAGAAATATTTTGGATTCTTTCTGTAATTGTATTAGCCCCTTGCCATTCTTTGAAAATGACTAGTTTTCTGTAGCATTGAAGGGTTGTTGAATCCATGGTTCAGGTTGGATACTGTACACTCTAGGCAGTGCCAAGCACATTGAAGACTAACGCCTCTTTGATACCAGACAGACCTGGGGTCATACCACACCCCCATCTGCTTACTGGCCACATGTCTGTGCTCACTTCTTTAGACTTTTTTTTTTAAACTATTATTGGTCTAAACTTGTTGATGCTAAAACTTGTTTAGGTTTGCAAGAGATTAAACATCAAAGTCTTACTGCAAACCTGCTAGCAAAAAACAAGGAAATAGAATCTGATTGTCGGAATACTTATAATAGTAGTCCTTTCCATAGTGAGTGCCTGAAAAACTATTTTTAAGGCTAATTGTACATGTTTTATTTAAAACAAAGTAGAAGAAAACCTGCTTGTTTTGAGGCCAATTTTGTGATTAAATAGCAGAGTGAGATGACATGTGAACAATAGAACTCCATGTGATCAACACTAGAAGTATTGATAATGAGTTTGCAGATAACCATTCCTGATCATCTGTGGATTTTTGCCAGTGAGGATGCAGTAAGAGGTGAATATTTGCTATATGCCTTGAAATAGAATTCCATTTAGTAGGTGAGTTGTTTTTATTTCAGATTGCTTCAGCCTTGAACAAAGTGGATGGACCCGATGTGGTAAGACACACTTTAAAAATGGCTACCTTCTAAAAATTTGATTTAGGTCGTAACAAGTAAGGAGATGTAATTTAAGAAAGTAGTCTGTTTTATTGCTTTGTGATGTAATAATAATTGCTGATTGCAGATATTTTAATAAGTGAATAATTCTCGTTTTAAAACGGCATAAGTTTAGCTGGTAGAGCATACCTTTGCCTTGACGGTATTTGAGTAAAGGAAAAACAAAACCAGTGACTGCTCAGGTACTTAAAAGGTTAAGATTTTGTTGCTAAGGGACATTTGGTAGGAAAGGAACAGACGATCTTTGCATTAATTGCTCTTTGCTTTTCCTCTAATGGTGTTTCTCAAACAAAGTTACTTAGTGTTGCTTTTTATGATTGTTGTGAATGTTGTTGGTTGGGTCTTTTATATTAATCTGTTCACTAATAACCTTTTAATGTCACATTCTTCAACTTCCTCTGTAATTGTTTTGTGCACCAAAGACTCTTAAAAACTCTGACCAAGTAGCACAGAGTGATGGGGAGGAGAGCCCTGCTGCTGGAGAGCAGCTCTTGAGAGAGGTACTTATTTTCTTCATTTTTAATTACATTTGTTTATATCTCTTTGAAATATGGAAAATTTTCTTGACTACTTGTTCTAAAATAAATTGGAGTATATTGTGTTTTTAGAGATGTTTAAGATAGGAGTGTCTTCACTAGTTTGACATAAGTATCATCTTTGAAATCTTTAGTTTTCTGACCTAGCCCCCAGCTTAGCTGGTTTAAAATTAATAGTTGATGTGAGATTGACTTAATTTGGTCAGATGGATATCAGGATGTCAGACTGAAACTGGAGTTTATCAGAAATCTACACTGCATTGCTTGTGAAGTCTGTGTTTTTCTTAGCACATTAATGTTTAGGGCCCACTTATCGGTAGCATAGGCTTCTGAATAACTTTGAACTCTCCATCTGGGTAAAGAATATTTCACTAAATAAACTGATTGTCATAATTTACTGTAAACATGTGTCCTGAGTTGTAATTGACAGTTTTTATAACTAGTTAAAATAGAGTCCTTGTACACAAGAATTGCATCATTAATTTTTTTCCTTTTTATTTTCTGGATTTTTTTTAACCACTAATAAATAGTTCTGTAATTTACTATACTTGCTTTCTGATTATATTTCATATTGGAAAATTAATGAACAAATTCTTGTTTCTCATCTCATCTTTGACTTCTTCATTGTTCTGTGTGATATGGGGATATCCTAATAACTATGGAATATTACTTAAAATTTTTACTAAGCTCTAAAAATGATTCATCATTAGACTCTTACAGGATGATTATAAAAAACGTTTTCCTTAAAAATGGGTCTTCTAAGATTTATTTAACCCAAGAATAAAGGGTCTGGGTAAAATCTTACTGAAAATTTGAACTAACTTTGGGACTACCTAGACAGAATTACAGGATATATTAAGTACATATTCATTTATATGCAACTAGATTAACTATGCATTATCAAATAGAGAACCATTTGGAAATACAGCCATGAATTAATAAGTAAGAATAATGTGTATTTAACAAAACAGTAGTCATCGATGTGTATTTTCAGAGTATTTGAAAAAATTTTGTTTAAAGAGATAAAATTTTCCCCTTTATCTTGATGATACTGTTTATCAAACGTAGTACCGTATGTATTGAAGATACTCAGCATGTAATAAATTGTACATCTTTTGGCTTTACATATATATTTCAGAAGTCCAAAAATAAAGATTTATTAATGGTATTTAGAAAGCAAATTTGAAAGATTGTGAGTTAACAGAAAAGATTTTTTTGGTAAATTCATTAACATCAGTATCTGATTTATTCTTTGATGTGAATAACTTAAGTTCTAAAATATTTTTGAGCATTTAAATTCTAAAATGCTTCTCTTTAGTTGGGGGAAGAATTAAGATTGCAGTTATTCTCCTATAATATCAGCTAATTAAGCATAATTTACAGATGCTATGCTGTGCACTAAAATTACCCAATCCAAAAGTGCCCCTGACTTTGAGTACTAGGCACTTTAATTTGTATGTGTAGGGAACCAGCACAGAAGATAGGTATTTTATCTCATGCAAGACAGCTGTGTTTTTCTTTAAAACTTTTTATCTCTTTGATATATTTTATTTTTTTCTCTTCTTTTGAACTTTTATGCATAGAAGGGAAAGTATTTAAAGTACCCACCAGCAGTATGCCTTCATTGTATTTCTCTTATTCTAAAGAAAGAAAATACTGATTTTCTTTTTACTCAGCCTTACAGGTAGTTTCAGAAATTTATGGTAGAACTATATATGTTTTTACTAGTACCTGCTGTTCCAGATATGTCTAATTTAAGAGAATGTAAAGTCTGTAATTGAATGTGAGTATATTCATGAACAGTCTGTTTATATATTGCATTTATATAAGGACAATAACTTTTTTTAAATGACTGATCCAATTAAAAGACCCTGTAACTAAACCTAGTTAACAAAAACCTTTAGATGTGTAGAAGCAGGGTTTTAAAACATAAACATAGTATAATTAAAACCATGTATTTGACATGTTTCAAGCTGCTCTTATTTGAAGTATATAAGAAAACAAAGATTCTTCAGCTTCAATAACTTCTGAGCTACTAATAATGGATGTACACTTAAGTTTGTTTAACATTATTCCTGATGACCTTGGATTTAATTATGGTTGCATAATGGAAGTTAATGCTTACAGAAGTCATGGATCTTAGTGTCAACTTGGATCTGAGGACTTTTCTAGAGGAACTTGGAATGTTGTCTAGTCAGTAGATGAAGTCATACATAAGTTTTGTTTTGCCAGTAACTTACTCAACAGTTTCATTCTGACTAAATTGCTGCCCTTTCCATCTCCTTAGCTTATTAAAGAGGAAAAACAAGAATCTGAATTTCTACCATCAGCTGGAGGAACATTTAACATCTCCATTAGTGGTGGTAAGAACCTATTTGGCTTTGATTTCTAATTTTCTTGACCATTTGAAAACAGATAGTCTCTAAGTTTAAGTTAGAAATTTTTTGTCATAGGTGGCAGAGGTTTGAAAAGACCTCAGTTTTCATGTAGTTGTTTTGGAAATGGTAGTATGTTCTGACACCTATGTGATAGAAACGGTATAATTATCTTAATTATTCCAGTTCAAACAATCTGGAAAATGTGTATTAGAAATTAATCCACAAGTAATATTTATAAATTAGCATTGTGTCTTCCTTTACGTGTGCATGTAAAAATTAATATGTTTAACATTTTTTCTTGTGACAGAAACTTTAACTTGAATATATTTCCTTATTGCAGATATTGATGGTTTAATTACCCAGGCTTTGCTGACGGGTAACTTTGAGAGTGCTGTTGACCTTTGCTTACATGATAACCGAATGGCTGATGCCATCATATTGGCCATAGCAGGTGGACAAGAACTCTTGGCTCGAACCCAGAAGAAATACTTTGCAAAATCCCAAAGTAAAATTACCAGGGTATGTTATTTTAAAAATAGATAAACATTATCTGATTATGAAAATAATACACTAATATTATAGATAATTGAAATGCAGAAAACAGTAAAGAACAAAACTACCACCTGTAATTCCTTGACTTAGAAATAGTTTTTCCAGATAGTTTGGTGTGGTTATTCCAACTTTTGTTGTCTGCATAAATAATTTTTTAAATGAAAATATTCTTCATATTTCTATTGCAGAAAACTTAGAACACAGAAAATTTTTAATTTGTCATAGCCCCTGATTCTTCCATCAGATTAATACATATCCTTTCAAATCTCTTTATATGTATTTGTAGAATTTTTTAAAACCAGGACCATGTATGGTGTGTTTATTTGCTTAGATATTGTCACGTATATTGTGAACATTTTCCCATATCATTAAGATTCTTATGGAAGTTTTTAAATTTTTTTACAATATTCTATATAAGAAGGTGTGACTTCCCTTATTTTGGAGTGTTTAGTTAGTTGCAGTATTTTTCTAATGTAGGTAAGATAGTGATAAACATCTTTGCTGTGCCTAAAGATTTGGTGCAAATTTCTAATTGTTCAGTGAGGCTATAATCCTAGGAAAACAGTTTCTGGTATAGAGGGTTTGAACATTTTTAAGCCCCTGCTTGATGTTACTAAATTTCTTTCCATAAGAGATGCCCTAGTGTTCAGTCCTACTAGCTGTCAGGTTCCCCAACCTTATCTTGTGCACTCTCTCCCCTTAGACTCTCACTTAGTAAATCCTGTCTTTTAGCCACTCTGGCAGCCTTTCAGTTCCTCACACATTCCAGGTGCCTTTTTCCCCAGGACTTTGTATCTAGTGTTCCCTTGGCTTGGAATGTTGTTGTTTTTTCCTTCTTGATGCAGTTAATTCTGACTTCATATCTTAAATGTCTGTATGTTCAGAAAGTTTTTCCTGATCCATCAGACCAAGTCATATCTTCCTGCTAAATGTTTTGATAACACCCTATACATTCTCTCCTCAACATTTTATAAGATAAATTTGTGTGGGGGTTTTTTTGTTTGTTTATTTGTTTTTTGTTTGTTTTTTGTGTGTGTGTGTGTGTGTGTTTTTGAGGAAAAATAATAGCATCTTTTATGTCATTTGGTTCAAAGATATACTTTACTTTGCTGCTCCTTTATTCTGCATGAAATACTGTGAATAGTAGTTTTCAAAAATATGATTCAATAGCCAGAGTTAATTTTTATTAATATACCAAAGGCTTTTAATTCTCTCTTTGTTTTCCTTTCCTAAGCTAATTACTGCAGTGGTGATGAAGAATTGGAAAGAGATTGTTGAATCTTGTGACCTTAAAAATTGGAGAGAGGCATTAGCTGCAGTATTGACTTACGCAAAACCAGATGAGTTTTCATCCCTTTGTGGTAAGAAAATGAGCTTTATATTACATCTATGGCATGGTATGTTATAAATAAAATTAATGACATATTATTAGAAATATTTATAAACTTACTAATCACAAATAAGAAAAAAGTTCTCATTTGATTGCTTTTCTCAGAATTATTAACCACATTACTTCACCATGTATAGTCATTGTATTTAATAATACTGTTTAGTGATTTTGGTTTCGGACAGACCAGATGTGGAACCTTGCCTCTGCCACTTACTAACTATATGACCTAGGAAAACTTACTTTCCAAGCATTGGGCTATTCATATGCAAAATGGCATATAATTAGCTCTCACTTAATAAATTCTGGCTTGATAAAATTAATAGTTATAGATAAAATAACATTTGAGTAGAAATTACCATCAAAGGCTATGACTAAACTGGTGGCTTAAGGAATAATAGTCATTATTTGCAAAAAGAAGCTTCAGTCTGCTAAAGTAAGAATGAGCAACCATTTGCTACTTTTAATGTATTATTAGAATACAAAAATTGTAAGATACAACTTTATTATCATAAATAATTTATGGTACTAGCTACCATTGATTTTAGTCCAAACATGCCATATTTTAGTCCACTGCTTACAAAAGCACCCAATGTGATGAAATGGAGTTAAATGCTCATCAGGCCTTTTCTGTTCAAATATTGTTCCCATTTTTTATTTTTTCTAATATAGTTAATGGAAATTCATTCTATAGCTAGGTATAGACTCTTGTGAAAGTGTTTATTATATATAACTTGTCACACACTTCCATTCCCTTAACAAATAAATATTTACTGAGCATTTATATAACAAAATGATTTTGTTTCTACCTGCTACCCACTGGTTGTAAAGTTTAATCCATACTTCTGAAAATATTACTGAGCTGCTCATGACCTCATATATAGATTGCCCTGAGTACAGTCTTAGATTGTTTTCTTCTTGATCTATAGATCTTTTGGGAGCCAGACTGGAAAGTGAAGGTGATAGCCTCCTGCAGACTCAGGCATGTCTCTGCTATATTTGTGCAGGGAACGTAGAGAAACTAGTTGCATGTTGGACTAAAGCTCAAGATGGAAGCAACCCTTTGTCCCTTCAGGTTAGTATATTTGAATCAAAAGGTGCTTTCTTTTTACTGTTGTCTTACACAGTACTTATATCCTAGAAATAGATTTGCTCCAGAAGTTCATTGCTTTCACCCTACTTATTTACATTTTGAAAATTATTTTGCTGGATAACTGTGTATTGCCATATTTGGAGGGTCAAAGTTTGAGATGATGGGATAGTAAAATGGAGTTGCAGTTGTTAGTGAGAACAACATTGTGATTTGGTAGTGTACTGGGGGAAGTAGATGATAAAAGCATGAAAACAGCCTTCAGGTTTACCTCTTTTCCCTCTTGTTCCTCTCTGTGCTTACAGTGACCCTGTCTGCCTTGAACAAAGAAAAATGCAGTGTAGGGTACAGAATGAATGGGAGGATGTCCGGCACCATTTTGTAAACTGGCTGCCCCTACAGTTGCATCAGGTCAGCCAGAGGGCGGCCCCACCTATGGCAGCTACAGGTGCAAAGCATAGAGGTTTCTCCCTGCATGCTTGGCCCACTAGCCCTGGCAGTATATACAGGCACTGCATTTGGGAAGCAGGAAAGACCTTTTTCCTCCTGACAGACACCAGCGCCTCTCCCCTGTGACTCCTGCCATCACTCCAGGGGCTGAGCAGCTCCAGAGAGTAGAGCTTCTGGGCACAAGAGGATGCCACCTACAAATATGAAATGTCAGAGGAACCTGGTTCAAACCAAAATCCCACAAACACCAGAAAGAGGGCCAAGTGAAACTGAATTCATTAATCTTCCTGAGAGAGATTTCAAAATAAAAATCAAAAACATGCTCATGTAGCTACAGAAAAATATTCAAGAACTCAGGGCAAAGTTCAGGAATGAGATACAAATGTTCAAGAATACAGTATATGAAATGAAACATAAAATGGAGGGGTTTAAAAGCAGATTAGATGAAGTAGAGGAGACAGTAAATGAAGTAGAAATTAGAAAACAGGAATGCAAGGAAGCTGAGGCACAGAGAGTAAAAAAGATGCCTAGGAAGGAAAGAATATTGAGAGAACTATGTCACCAACCCAAACAGAACAATATTTGCATTATAGGGGTACCAGAAGAAGAAGAGAGAGAAACAGGGATAGAAAGCATCTCTGAGGAGGTAATTGCTGAAAACTTCCCCAATGTGGGGAAGGAGATAGACTCTCAGGCCATCGAGGTGCACAGATCTCCCAACATAAGGGACCCAAGGAAAATAACACCAAGACATATAATAATTAAAATGGCAAAGATCAGGGATAAGGACAAAGTATTAAAAGCAGCCAGAGAGAGAAAAAAGATCCCATGCTAAGGAAAACCCATTAGGCTATCATCAGACTTCTCAACAGAAACCTTACAGGCCAGAAGGGAGTGTGGCATGATATATTTAATGCGATGAAGCAGAAGGGCCTCCAACCAAGAATACCCAGCAAGATCATCATTTAAATTTGAAAGAGAGATTAAATAATTTCCAGATAAGCAAAAGCTGAGAGGATTTACCTCCCACAAACCATCTCTGTAGTGTATTTTAGAAGGACTGCTATAGATGGAAGTGTTTCTAAAGCTAAATAGCTATCACCAGAAGAAATAAAACCATAGTAAAGAAAGTAGACCAATTAATTACTAAGCAGATGGAAAATCAAATTAACCACCCCCAAAGTCAGTCAAAAGATAGACAAAGAGTACAGAATATGATACCTAACATATAAAGAATGGAGGAAGAAGAAAAAGGAGGGGGAAAAAAAAAGAACCTTTAGATTGTGTTTGTAATAATATACTAAATGAGTTAAACTGTTAGATAGTACGGAAGTTACCCTTGAACCTTTGGTAACCAGGAATCTAAAGCCTGCAGTGGCAATAAGTACATACCTATCAATAATCACCCTAAATGTAAATGGTCTAAATGCATCAATCAAAAGACATAGAGTCACTGAATGGATAAAAAAACAAGACCCATCTATATGCTGCCTACAAGAGACTCACCTCAAACCCAAAGACATACACAGACTAAAAGTGAAGGGATGGGAAAAGATATTTCATGCAATTAATAGGGAGGAATGAATGGGAGGCATTCCCAGTACCAACAGAGAATCTCCATGGTTAAGGGAAAATGAAAATACTAGGTAAATGGGATCCTATGTAGCACCAGTATACAGTCAAAAGAGGAAGTAAAAAATGTGGGGACTAGTCTCAGGCACTGAGCAGCTATATTTTTAGACTTTTTCCTAAGCATTTAATCAGCAGAGTCTTGTGATATTTCAATTTCACGTCTTTTTTCTCTCTGCAAAGAGATTCTCTCAGCAGGGTAGAAGGGTTGTTGCTTTAAAGATCACTGTATTGAAACTGAAAAATCTGGTAGAAAATCAAGGTTTTCCTTCTGTGTGCTTCTGAGAGAAAACACAGTTGTTTCATACTTCTGAATTTGTGTACAGATAGATAGGTAAGGTAATCTTGTGTGTTATACCTGAAACTCCCCCTTGTTAAAAGAATTGGTATGAGAAACTCTGGGTTGAAATAGTAAGCCTGTTGGAGGTTATGTCAAAGTTGTACTACTTTTACAGCATAGATAATATGATCTTTTCAGTCTTAGTCCCTCTTGGACCTACTGGAACCCAGTTTGTGCCTTCAGACACCTATGTGTCACTTTCACTTGGATACTTGCCTATTTAGCTCACAAGACAACTATCTGACAGTTTAAGGATGGTTAGGAAAAGGTGGTAACCTGTGCCCTTTCCATGAGTAAGAGACCTTTTTCTCCATACTTTTTCAGTTATGTAAGTGTTGGCCAATTGTTCTAGACCTTTCTAAGAGAAAGGAATATAGGTACTGTACTTTTAGTAGGTTTTGAAAATTTTGTGACTCTTGATCTTTTCTTGTTTCCTCTCATACACATCTTAGTATCTTTGTTCCTCCTTCACTCTTCTTTTTCTTATTTAGGATCTGATTGAGAAAGTTGTCATCCTGAGAAAAGCTGTACAACTCACCCAAGCCATGGACGCTAATACCGTGGGAGTTCTTTTGGCTGAGAAGATGAGTCAGTATGCCAATTTGTTGGCAGCCCAGGGCAGTATTGCTGCAGCCTTGGCTTTTCTTCCTGAAAACACCAACCAGGTAACTAGAATTGACCGTTTTTCTTCTTTTAATGTGTGAGTAAGGTGAGTCCAGTAGATAGCACTCTAAATACAAATATACTAGCAAGTGAAATGTTCTGGAGCAGTTAAAGTTCTGTCATCTGACTATAGGTGAATGTTAGTGGTAATTCTTAAAAGATCATTTTAGGCATACCCGGGTTATGTAACAGACAGGATGCTCTTTGGTAGATCCCTTTGCACTAAGGGGTATAGTATTTGAGGGAAATGATGGGAAAAGGACCAGTTTTTTGTTTCTTCATCCAAATGCTGATTCTGTATACAGGGTCCTTTGTAGGAATCTTTTATGTTGAAAAGCTATAAACATTAATATTTTATTGAATAAAAGGGGTTATAATTTTAAAATTCCCACAAATGCCACCCTGGATACAGATACTAGCAAAGAAGTTCATTCTATGTGCTATTTCAGTCTGATACCATCTGTGGGAGAGTATATATTTAAAGTAGTGAAGCTAGAGGGAACTGCATTCATTCTTAATTTACTGAAGTGTCCTTATTTGTTGTGTAGTAAAACTCAGGCTTTTTCATTATACTTGTTTCAATGCATTTCAATAAGTGAGTATACAGTGATGAACGAGATTGTCACCAAAGGAGTTTCCAAACTCAGAATGACTGTAGACAAGTAAACATGGGATTCAGTGATAGGAATCGTAGTGCAGTGAGAGCTTGGAAGAGGGAAACTTAAACTCTATCATGGAGCATAAGTGCAGGTCAGGGTGGAGTTTGAGAAAAGTTTTCCACAAGTAAGATATTTGTATCTTCTTCATGTGTCTGACAGAGCTTGATTTTGAGCCTCACAGACATTTCTTGTTTCTATACTTGGTATTGTAAACTTTGTTGTTTTTGATGGATTTTTTTCTAGGTAATCATTTTCAGTATTTTGTCTGCCATAGGGAATTATCAGTAAATTTACCTAGTAAAGATATTTATACCCAGGACGAAGGGTGTTGTGACTCTCTGATTGGTTTTGTATATACTTCATGTAGGGTCCAGCTCATCTCTTTCTAAATTGTTAATGGGTATTAGGTAGAATAGAAATAGTTGTTATCTTTATGATGACTCTGATAATAATTTCATATGACTTTTTATTTAATAAGGTCTCATTATTATATTGAGGTATTAGAACCTTTATTTTAAAGCTAACTTCATCTAAGACCTTTAGATCTTCTAACCTTAGAATTAAACGTTTTGTATTTAATACCATTCATAACCAACCACATGCATTTTCTATACATTAGTCTTCATGCTTTTCTTTAAACTTTTAAAGAAAATTCCTTGTGCAAAAATCAAAATTTTGATATTACTTTCTCCATATCTCAATAGACCCTTAGTATTTTCTGGGGAATATACCCTGAGACTTTGTGATATTATTATAGTATATAATTCACCTCCCTAAAAGGCATCAAGTTTACCTAGAAAAGTTTAAATGATATCTTTAAACCTTTAATGAGTGTATAGAAATGAATAATTTTTAAAGATATTAAAACGAGTTCTTGCTGAAACATTTTACCATTACTTTTTTGTTGTTGTTTGTTAATACCTAGAACATGTATATGGTCAGCTCATATTTACCGTAGAACCATATAGTTTTATTAATTTTCATCTCTTTCTTAGATCACCATTTTCTTCCTTCACCATCTTTAGCAGATGATTCTAATTGGGCCCTTTTTTCCCCTAGAAAGACATTAAGTTGTATTTTTTAAACTACTTTTATGATTTGTGAGCATTACTCAACTACTGGAAAACAACAAAAGAGCAGTGATGATAAGTGACAGTGATCTTACATACTACCATGTGGTGGGCATAACTCAAATTCCTGCCTCAGCCAAATTACAAGTTACACTATATTATCATGGGCCTTTGGTGTCTATCTGGAATATTAGAAACCATCACATCAAACCCTAATGTGACAGAGTCTCTTGTAATATATAGCATTTCAACAGAAATCACATGAGTAATCTAACTTACTTAAAAAAATCAACAGCTGTCATACAGTTGGGTGAGCTCTAACAAATTTGCTTTGTTTTCTTCCATTGCTTCTTATAGCCAAATATTGTGCAACTTCGTGACAGACTTTATAGAGCACAAGGAGAGCCTCTACCAGGACAGGAATCACCTAAAATTCCTTATGAGAGGCAGCAGCTGCCCAAGGGCAGGCCTGGACCAATTGCTGGCCACACACAGATGCCACGAGTTCCAACCCAACAATATTATCCCCATGTGAGTAACGTGGTGCAGATTAAGTGGGAACATTTATGTATTTCTATTCAGATTGGTAGTTTTAGTTCCTAGGTGAGAACCTTATCTGCCTTGATAAACTAGACAATTTGTTGTTTTAATAGTTATACTTTTTATATTCTTTAAAGTAGTATTTATGATGTTTTTTTAAACATCACTTTAATCTGATCATATTTTAGATATAAATTAATTTAAGCTCTCTAGGGGAGATTTCTTATTTCCACACTTCTCTTACACATAAGAGACTGTTCTTGCAACTTCTACAATTTGATTCATTTGAAAATCTAATTAGTGGGAACAATTTTGTGACTGATTTGGTTAATTTTATAAAAAGTATTTTTAGGAAATCGTCTTATTTTTTGAGTGTTCTTTTCTGAATTGTCAGTATAGGTTTGTCTTCTGTATCAGCACAATAAAAAGACTTCTTTTTGGACAACCTGAATATTAGAGAAAAGTGAATGACTCCAGGTTTATGAAGTTGTAGGGCATGGGGAATCTGAAGATGATTAAATACTTTTTATTAATTAATGTGTTTATTTATTAAAATTACTGAATGTTTAATGGCATAAAATGTAGCCTCTTACTGTCTTTTACTACTTCATGTAGAAATATATTTCTAGACTAACAGATAACCTTCATGTTCTTAAATGAAAAGCATATTTTCATAAGTAATAAATGGTCTTGATTGACAATAAAGTTAATAGGTATTCCACCCATTTTAAAATGGAACCAATTGCTGATAGAATTGACAGGGTCTCTTTTACATTTCTTTGTAGCAAAAGTAAATATAAAATCATGAAAAAAACAATTTATGCTCTTCTGTCTATTGTACTTTTGATTAATACAGGTACTAATTGATTAGTACTTTTAATTAATACAGATTACACTTTAATATAACTGTAACTATCCAGAGAACTCTCTGTTTTGTTTTGTTTCCATTCATTTGACAAATATTTATTGAGGCTACTCTAAGTGCCTGTCTTTATTCTACCTGTTTTGGGCATTTTGAGAAACAAAATAGATTAAATTCCCTACTCATGTGGAGACTGCACTACACTTAAAAAGTCTGTGACATAGGTGGGACAAATCTGGATAGCTGGGAAAACTCAGAGGCGTAGAGGTCAAGCCACCAACCAAAGTTTTAAGATGTAAAGATTGAATTTTTCAACATTACATGGCTAGTTAATGAGCAACTTGGTATTAGAACTCCCAAGCACCTTAAGTTCGATCATGCTGTCTCTCAGTGTACTGAAGTAAGGCATCTTTTGCACTGGGAGAAGAGAATATTTACTCTTTGTGTCCCTGGATTTATCTGTCTTTCTGGAGAAATGTAAAAACATTAAAAAACTTTGTATATACTTTGACTTAGCAGTCATACTTTAAGAAAAGAAAAACAAATTCAATAATAAATAAGCATTGGTTTTCTTGATTCAAGCTTATGATATGCTAAATGAGGACAGTGGCTTGTGTTTTTAAAGGATTGTTTACAGGAAGGACTAAAGGGATGAAAGGGAAGCCAGAGTAGTAGGACTTCCACAGCCACTTCAACCACCACCAAGCTATTAATTGTTTATATATTGGAGTTTCTACAAAAATTTACTTGACAAAAAAGATTGTGATGGCTTAAAAGAGAAATTTGAAAATCTCTGGACTTCAGAATAAGCAACATGGTATGGTGGAGCAAACACTGCCCTGGGAATCAGGAGACATGGAATCAGTCCAGCTCTATGACCAACTAGTTGTATGGACCTCAGCAAGCTCCTTTGTTTCTTGAGGCCTTGGTTTTCTCAATGGTAAAGGTTGGGGATTAGACTGGATCATCTTTAATATTCTCTGATTGTATGATTCTAGGTCTCATATGGGACCAAAATGATATTTTGACTCTAATGAAATCAGAAAAGGGAGCATATAAAAATGTGTTTACAGATCTAGTAGTAGCATGTATATTGTTAATGCTTCAAAATCACTTTTTTACTCAATTATCTTTTTTCTTTGCTTTGGAATGTCCTCCTTCCTTGTCCACTTAGAAAACTTAGCTTTTCTGCCTAATTCTTGACACTTGAATGGCAGTGTTCTCTGTGCTTTGATTAAGGTTTTCATATTGATTTTCCACTGCCTTCTTCCTGTTTTGTTGTGAATGTATGCTTGTCTTTTGGAATCCCAGCTAGAAGGCAATTGCCTGACTAATATAAGCTGTCTTGCTGGTCTTTTGTTGCTTTGCATCTGGCTATTAATGCCTTTTGGGTTTTTTTTTCCTTCTTTTAATATTTTCATTTTTTATTTTCTGTGATTGGTATTTCTTTGTTCAATTCAGGTTAGAATTGCCCCTACTGTTACTACCTGGAGTAACAAAACTCCTACCGCCCTTCCCAGTCATCCACCTGCAGCCTCTCCCTCTGACACACAGGTATATCCTTTATTACCTATCTTTGAGCAGAATTCTGCTCATCTTAATATATAGAGCTATTTATCCTCTACCCCCCTTTATCAAGTTCCCCTCCCTGCATCTGTCTGCCTGCTTATAGCATTTTAATGCTTTTAGGATACAAGAAGCAGTTTTTAGCCCAATTAATTAATTTTCTTATCCCTTTCCTTCTTTTGCTGTTCTAGAGCTAGGAAAACATCAACCAAGGATCTAACAATGGTTTAGATCTGATTTTACTGAAGATTTTATCTTTTTTCCTTCCTTTTCTTTGAGCATTGCAGAAATTGAACAGAGGCAAAAGTTCCCTTGTGGCATTTATACTTACATTTCCAAAGTGTGGAGTAGTGGATGGAATTTGGTAGAGATGGAAAATCCTGGTGCCTTACGATAAATAACATTGACACTATTTTATGAGGCTATCAGCATCTGTTGCCATTTATTGCAATTATTATTTTGGACCTGTCTGATCTTTAAATCGCTCCAAATATGTTGCTCAGAAAATGTGTTCTGGAGAAGATAGAATGTACAAAATGCAATGTTTCTTTCACAATAAAGTTTTAAAAAAATTTCATTCCCAGAGATTATGAATCTATCTAGTAAGATTCTCGGTTCCAAATGTAATCCTTGTTTTTACTATGTTCTCACTTCCTAGGGAGAAAATCCTCCACCTCCAGGTTTCATAATGCATGGAAATGTTAATCCAAATCCTGCGGCAGCTCAGCTTCCCACATCACAGCTTCCCACCTCTCCAGGTCATATGCACACCCAGGTACCACCTTATCCGCAGCCACAGCGTAAGTAATGTGACCCTAAAGTCCTTTCACAGCAATATGTCTCATCTAATGCAGTAACTATATACTTTGAAGCTCCAAAGTCATGATTAAATTAATTATAATATGTAAAGAAAGAACCATTATGTATAGGACTCAAATCCTTGCTACAGAGAAACATGGTTTCCCTGAATCAACATGATAGGGTACACTTCCTATGTCAGTCCATTCAGAACAGTTGGCTCCTGTTCCTGAGCCTTTACTAAGACCTGGTAAAGAGAGTCAATTATCCCATAATTTTGGTATAAAAAATAGAATTTTAGAAATTATTTGGTATACTTTTCCTTTAGGCAAAATGACCATTTGGAAAAATGGCTCCAAGGGACATTTTTTGTTGTTTTCCATTTATCTTTTTTTTTTTAGAAATAAGCATTACTTTTAGGGCAGTTTCAGGTTCACAGCACTAAATGTTCAATTGTGTGGAAAGTACAGAAAGTTCCAGTATTTTGCCACACCCATGCACAACCTGTGAATATCTTGCACCGCAGTGGTCCCTTTGTTTCAGTGAGCCTACAGTGACATGTCATTATTATTCAAAGTCCATAATTGACTCTAGGGTTCACTCGTGGTGGTGTACATTCTATGAATTTTGTCAAATGTATAACAATGACATGTATCCACCATTGGCTTTTGTTTCTTTAGAAAAGATTTGTACTTGGAAAGTAAAATATCACCACTATTTTAAAATTTACATGAAGAGCAAAACAATAAAAATCTCAAAGGGAAAAATTGTATGACTATTAACAACTATTACAAAAAGAAGAGGCCATTACCTTGTAAGAACTAATCTTAATGAGCCTATTCTACACTAAATAGATGTTTCTTATTCAACAAGAATCCCAAATTTGATACATCTTTTCACTCAAGTGCTCAATGAGAAAGTGCTGTTTTCAGAGTAGAGCAAGGTACAGTTCTCTAGATTGACTCTATAGAGGTTCATACCTACTCTTCATCATGCAGAATCTGATGGTAATCTAGATCTCTAATCTGGGTCCAGGTCTCTGCAGAAAACATTAGCTTTTAGCCTGATTAGCCTGATAGCTTACTAACCAACTGTGTACAGTATGTATAAGGTTACAAAGTAATTTGTTTTGTCAGAGATCATGGAGATAACTGTTAATCTGGAACTGTGCTCAAAATCAGAATTTGAGTAGCTGAAGATTGTACGAAATGTTGGAGAAGATACTTGTTTCATAACAATAGTGTTCACCCTGCAATTCTCAGAGTGCAAGGAGCTTTTAAGCTTTTGAGCTGCCGTCAAACTCCTATAACTTTTCCTGTAAAGGGGGGTCCTTTCCGTGTGTATTTCCTGCATGGTTCCACCTGGTGGGTAGTAGGGGTCACTGCAGCCTTTTCACTGGAACAGGAAATTTCAGAAAAGGGTCGTAGTTCTTGGGTAATGATTCAAAGATTTTCAGAGCCAGCAGCAAATATTGGATCCAATGAATTGTAGTATATTTAAGGCATCTGAGCTATCAAAAGCATAACATATCATAATTTTAATGTTTAGTTGTAACTTACTGTTGTAAGAAGAATGATGTAATGAATTTCCATAGAATAAGATAACTTTAGTTTTCTGTTGCTGTCTGAATAAACTTGTAACTAATTAAAATTTCTGTTTCTTCTTGGTATAGCTTACCAACCAGCCCAGCAGTATTCCTTCGGAACAGGGGGGTCAGCAATGTATCGACCTCAGCAACCTGTCGCTCCTTCTGCTTCAAATGCTTATCCTAACACCCCTTACATATCCTCTGCTTCCTCCTATTCTGGGCAGTCTCAGCTGTACCCAGCACAGCACCAGGCCTCTCCACCTACCTCCAGCTCTGCTGCTGCTTTCCCTCCTCCCCCTTCCTCTGGAGCATCCTTCCAGCATGGCGGACCAGGAGCTCCACCGTCATCTTCAGCTTATGCACTGCCTCCTGGAACAACAGGTACTCTGCCTGCTGCCAGTGAGCTGCCTGCATCCCAAAGAACAGGTCTGCGCTTGAAAGGGATTTGGTTTGGCTCCCTCCCTTATTTTTTTCATGAACACATGGGTGGATGGAGGGGAATTATTTCTAGCTGTTTGTAAACTGGATAATGCGAGGTGTTGATTGTTTTTATAACACATTCTAAACTATTTTTGAAAGTGTGATTCTTCCATGATGCGCTTCAGTTGCTAAATGAGGAAAGTTTTAAAGTTTCAAAATATAATCTGCCATTGAATTTAAAATAAATGGTAAGAACTTAATTGGCAAGATAAGTGGTGGTTGGGACCAAATTTAATTGACGCTAATTTCTTTACTGGAACAAAACTGTATTCTGTGTTATTACTGTGAAGTTTTCAATTCTTCAAATTATTTGTGCCTTAAACTCATTAATAGATTAATAATATAGGGTCTTAATAGGCTGTAAAAATATTGTAATTATATTTATTTATAAAGATGAGGAGGGATTTTGATATGATTATCTAAAGGAAAAAAGTGAGAGAGCACAACTCTGACAGAGAATCTCTCAGACAGCAGAAAGTCGGTATAGTAGTACAGTGAGTCTCTATTACAGTAATACCACCCTCAAATATTTTGGAAATTTATAGGCATACTTTTTTTTTGTCCAATAGTGCCTGAAATTTTCTATCTAAAATCATAAATTTAAATTGTTTCTATAATGAAATATACATATTTAGAATTGAACATGATATTAATTTTTTATGGGGAGGTTATATTATCTGATTTTCATTTTGAAATAGTAAAAGGGGCCTTAAAAGCATGTGTTATATGTTAAAAGATACCAGTGAATCAGGGTTAAGGACCGCTAACATAGTAGTTAAGGAATGCAGGCTTTGGAATTAGACTTTCTGGGTTTGTATCCCAGCTTTAGTACTTTCTAGTTCTATAACCTTGAGTAAGTTACTTAAACTTCTTTAAGCCTCCATTTCCTCAGAATAATTATAGTACCTGTCATAATCTTATGAAGAGGCCTTAATATATTAAAAGCATTTAGGGACAAGTAGTGCAAAGTTAACTGTGATTTCACAAAACCTCACTCAAAATTAGAGCCCTGTGCATTTTGGTAATTGAAAATGGTTTCCTTTTCAGATTGTAACTGATGGTTTTGAACTAGAAAGACAAAAAGATGAATGAGTCTCTTGCTTTTCTGCTAATACTGAGGTTGCTCCTGGGAAGTCCAGTTTATATTTTTTTCCTTTTACATGTTAAGCAGTAGCTTTCATTGCTGAAAACACTTGTCATAACATAGTATCTATTGAGGAAGTAGTCTTTTCTAATAAAGTCTTATGGATCCAGAAGTACATATATAGCTCCTCCTCTCTGATATGTGTTAAAGTTCAGAGTACTGAAAATCACACACACATGCACAGTATGTAGCACTCTTTACTACACATGTAAAATTTCTGTAACTTTGAATACAGATAACTTCAATAGGCTGATATTTTAGAGAGGAGTGCTAATTCAACTGCAGACTTAAAAAAATTACCTTAAAAACCTGGATGACTGAAGACAGTTTGCATTCTGATTAGTTAGGTAATAAGAGTTCTCAAGTGAAAGATGCATTTGAGTAAATCCCCTGCAAAAGGTGGTGCAGGGAAGTAGAGAAATTAATTATCAGTTATTAAACATTTATTAGGTATGTCCCAGCACTTGCCACATATTTTCTTATTTAATTCTCACAACCATGAGAAATAAGAATAGTTTTTTTTTTAATTGACATGAGGAAACTTTGAGTTTCCTATGAGTTACATAATGTCCTCGTGATTGCACAGTGATAGTCTCCAAGCTGAGATACAAGCCCAGGTCTCTCAAGTCTTCAAAGCCCACATTCATTCTCTACCAGATAGTCTAGTCCTGGTATAAGTGATAGGAATTGCTGCCAGTGTTAGAATTACAAAAGTCATTTAGCAACCTGTTTTAGTCATTTGTTGCTTCATCACCTAAGTAAATATTTGCATGGCTGTTTTTTTCTCCTTAAGCAAAATTATATTTGGCCATGAGATACAGTCTTTGCTTATATACAGAGTAACAGAATGTTCTAACGTGGCTGAGAAAAGCAAAGTGACTAACAGGAATAAGCCAAACAAATATTTTTCAATGTTTAGCACGGACTAATAAGCTAGCTGCTTTGTTACCTCTTGCATGTTAGTAATCCTAGTCCCCTATATCTTAAATAATGTTTCCTTTGTTACCACGTGTTATTTTTTGATTTCCTAAAAGTTTTGTCTAGGTTATTCAAATAATTGTGATTGAAGATTTTATCTTTGTTCCTACCTGTCTTAAATTATACCGTGGTTCTCTAGAAGACTTGGAAATCCACTTGTCCAGTGGATAATTCTTGGCAGATACTAGGATTTTCAAGCCCTCTAACTACCACAAAATGATGTGCCCACTGCTCAGAGAAACCAATGTTGCAATCATCAAAACATTCATTCAGTAAATTTCTAATGTGTACCTGTTCAGTCTATACAGAATTATAACAGGCAAAGGTAGGGAGGCAGAAAAGGACAGTACACTTCTAGTGAACAACGCATGGCTTTTTTATAAATTGGAACATAAAATTTGTATTTGGGTCAAATTTTGTAAAGCCTTACATACTAGAGAAAAAGTTTTATGCTTCACACAGTAAGAAGAAAAGGAGTTGGAACTGCTGAGGGGCATGCTCAAAGTGGTACTTGGGGGAGATTAGTCTGGTTGTAAAATAGCTAATGGGCAGTATGGCAGAATCAGAGGCAAGGAGAACAGACTGTCTCCCAGTTCTAGGTTTAAACTAGTAACAGCCTGAGGTAGGATAGTGCAACCTTATTTCTGTGGTGGCAGCACAGAGCAGTTTCCCTTACTTTACTGTCTAGGATAATTAGGATACTGCCTCTTCCTTTTTTTTTTTTTTTTTTTTGGTCCCCTGTTTAATGTGTACTTGTTACTAAGGAAGAGTACTTCCAAATATGAAAGCCTTAGAATTTTACTCAAAAAATTTGTTTTCTGATAAAATGAGCTTTAAGCTATTATAAAGCTGTCTTTGACTGAACATTACTGGCTTCGTTAAACAACGGAAAATTTAATTTACATAATACAGTTGACCTTGACATCCCCCATGCAGTTGAAAATCCATGTAGAAACTTTTGACTCCCTCAAAACTTAATAAACTACTGTTGACCAGAAGCCTTACCAATAACATAACAGCTAATTAATACGTTTTGTATGTTTTATGTATTATGTACCATGTTCTTACAATCACGTAAGAAAAAAGAAAATTTTTTTTCAAATTGTAACATCTCAGTTTTCCAATATTATTTACTGAAAAAAATCATGTATAAGTGGACCTGTGTAGTTCAAACCCATGTTGTTAAGAGTCAACTGTATAGTCCTAGGCTTCTTCACATAGAAGAGTCTTGAAAGTGCATAAAATTGCATATTTTCATGAAACAGTTTATAAATAATTTTTTAATTTTCATAAACATTCCTTACTCAAGTTGTAAGTACCTGGTTTAACACTTTAAATAAAGGAGCATGATAGCCTGCATTACTTTTCTTTGGATATTCTCTTTTACCTTGTGTCATTGGAAAATGACCTCAAGGACTGATGTCTTTCTAAATTTTAGTTTTTAGTTTTGTGGCTCCCTTTTAATGTGACATGCTAGGCTTATAGGGGAAAGGGTAGGTATATGGTTAACAAGAATGCTCTATTCTTTCTGTCTCAAATTATCTTCCAGCCAAAAATCTCTATACCATCAGCACTAGTTTTTCAGTAAATTCAATGAAAAAGTATCTTAGCCAGTGCATAGATCCCATCATTTTGCCCCTGCAAGAATGCCTAAGAAGATTCCCAGTGAGAAATGGGATTTGAGTAAGGATGATATGCAACTCCACTCCTATACGTGAGACCAAGCCATTCCCTCTTCCTTCCCCCAAAGACCCTATGGAGGCCTAATCCCTACACTAAGGGTCTCTAGTATCCAGGGACATGCCATTTTCATTTTTTAGATTAATTTCCTTTGGTTTTTATTAATTTTTTACTATAATATTTTGAAAGACTCTAGTATGAATAAAAACAGGAATTATCTGTAATTCTACCATCCAAATACAACCACTAGTAATTTACATTTATTCCCTTCATGTACCTATAGGCACACATACATATAAGTGTATTCACACTGTTGTACAACCATCACCACTATCTCCAGCACTTTTTCATCAACCTATACTGAAATAACATAACCACAAAATAATCCCCATTCCCCCAAATGCCTGGTAACCACTGTTCTACTTTCTGTCTCTATATAATTTGACTAATCTAGGTACTTCATTTAAGTAGAATCATATTTGTCCTTTTATGACTGGTTTATATTTAATTGTCTTCAAGACTCATTCATGTTGTAGTATGTGTCAGAATTTCTTTCCTTGTTAAGGTTGAATAATTTTCCACTGTATTCATGTACCACATTTTGTTTAGCCATTCATCTGCACATGTGCATTTTGGCTATTGTGCATAATGCTGCTCTAAACAAGGGTATACAGAAGTCTGTTTGAGTTCCTGCTTTCAGTTCTTTGTGTATATATCCAGACATGGAATTGCTGGATGAAATAGTAATTCAAAGTTTCATTTTTTGAGGAACCATCATACTGTTTTCCCCAGTGGCTGTACCATTTTACATTCCCACCAGCAATTCATAAGAGTTCCAATTTCTGCACGTCCATACCAACACTTGTTTACTGTTTTTTTAATTCTAGCCATTTTAATGGGTAGGAAGTAATATCTCATTGTGTGCATGCATTTTTAAAGAGTTGACATCCTAATACACATACATACATACATAATTAATTTGACCTCTTAACTTTCATTCTTAATATTACACCATGAACCCTTTTTCCATGCCCTTTAAAGTCATGTCATCTTTTTAAAAAGAGTAAGAAAGAGATTTATTCCATCTATAGTTTTTTACAAGTAAAAGAGATTATCTCCTCTTTATAGTTTATGAGAGAATTATATACAAGATTAAACTATGTTGCTTTTATTTTTCTAAATGTTGACCTAGAGAATCATTTTGGACATCTACAATGAGCTTCCATAATTCCTTTTCCTGTAGATATTCAAGTTCCTTATGTTGCTTGCTTTACCTAATGTTGGTATTAAAGTATATTTCTATAAAGTTCAGATCAATTTAATTGTGTTTAAAAAGTCATATGTAACAAAGATGTAAAAGCAAAAAGATTGAAAGGGATTAGAATTATAGCTGAGACAGAACTGTTACTAAAGTTGATGAGATTTGAACAGGGATCTGGGCTGAAGTAAAATATATAGCTAAATGTATTGCACAGTTTGAAGTTAGGAGGAGTTGGGTAGGCATATATTTGGGCGGGGAGGGGAACTTTGATTATTGTGCAACTGGTACTTTCTGTTCAACAGACATTCCCACCCTCAGGTTATGTGGGCCAGCCAACCGGCTATATGTTCCCGTTGAGAAATCTGTTTGATTTGATTGTTTCACTTCTGCCTTTAAATTTGATTTGGTATAATTATAACTTTAGTGTCATTTTACCAAAGCATCATATGAAATTTCTCCATAAACTTTGCTGTGCTGCTAATAATTTGTGAAATCAGGATGCCAGTACCAACAGCTTAAGTCACTGCCATGAGGTCAGAGGAAAACTCTCATCTTCTGTTCTTGCCTCTCATGGGACAGGAAGGAGGGCATGTTGATTCTGCTCCCTGAGAAAAAGGGTCGAGGCCCAGGTGTTTCTAGTGCTTGTAGTTTTATAATTTATCAGCCCCGTCAGCCCAGAAACTGACGTCTGGTGCTGGAGTACATCATCACTGGTTGCAGATCAGGTCAGTCCTCTGTCATAATGCACAGAATGACTCCCAGGGATTTAGTAACTAGAGTGCCAGGAGGTCATCTCCTGCATGGGCAATTAAGTTGTAAAGTCATTATTTAAGTCAAAATAAGAAGTTATTTATAGTCAGTTATCTTTGATCGCTCCTTTCATTAGGTAAGCCCTTGAAGAAGTTGGCTTGTGTTTAGGAGCCATATTGTATGAAAACCATCTGTCTGTAAACTCCACACAGTGAGATTTCAAGCTGTGGGATTACTTCTCCCACCTCACAGTTTCTCTGGGGCATGTGCTTCTTGAATAGAGCGCATAATGAATTGAACTCAGTAATTAGTTGCTATATTCTCTTGGTTCCTTTCTCCCCAAGTGAAGATAGTTGAATTTCCCCTGAGTTATATGTGCATATGATGTACCTTCACTGCATTCCTTTGATTTGAGGCTGGTCCTGGCCTGACCCTAAATATCTGACAATTTTGGAATTGCTGTGTTGGTTTTCAGCCTGCTTTCCTCTTATCCACCACCAGAAACTTCAGTTCTCTTGAGAGAAGTGTAGTGATTTATGAAATGACTGGTGCTGAACAGTCTGCAGATCCGTATGTTTTACAGAAAAGACCATATAAAATGGTAGTATATTTACTGGGCCTCTTCTCACTTATGCACATACTCATGGTGGGACTCCAGAAATTACAGTTTCTGGAGAACCCAGACGCTTGGTACCTCCAAAATCCAGCAGTAAAGTGGCACCACTTTATCAGTATCATCTGACATGCTCTTCTTTAATAAGTGCATTGCTGAAGTTGGCAGTACAGTGTAGAAATCCTCCCATTTCTCTTTAAATGCCTGCTGCTTCAAAAAGGTTTTGACCTGCAGCATTGACATTACCTAAGAGCCAGCTGGAAAGATAGACTTTCAGGCCCTACCCTATACCTAGTGAATTAGAATCTGCATTTTAAAAAGATTTTCAGCTGATTTGGATTCACAGCTTTAAATAATACTAAAAATGGATACTCCATTGATAGTACTGAATTTCATTGATCAAATAGAAAAACAATCCATGGGAACAATTAGGGACATACTATTTTAGATAGGAAGGAACAAAATTTTCTTTTAAAAGCACAAGTAAGAGAAAAAAGTAGTATTTGAGAGTTAATTGGATCTGACACAATTAATTTGCTTTACCCCAAAACTGGTTACTTTCTTAATTAGAAGACGTTTATTGTGACTTGATTAAAAAGTAAATTTTATTGCTTTATAAAATTAGTTCTTTCTGGGGATTGATAGTGGGAGAAGAAACAATTGTAAAATTAGAAGTGAAGTTTAGAATGCCTTTGATGCTAATACTGTTTAAGTGACTTTTATATTTTGTCTACAGAAAATCAGTCTATGCAAGACCAGCCACCTATGTTGGAAGGTGAATTGGTTATAAAATATACTTTTGGGAATCTTTGAATCATTAGATGCAGTTAATGAATGTACTTTCCCAATAAATGCATGTGAACTTCAAAGCTGATGATATCCTAAATCTGATCAATGTAAATTTGACGTCTTAAAATCAAATCAACTCTTAATGCTGATTGAATTAACTTGGTGACACAAAAAGCTTTAAATCGTAAAGTCATGTGTTTTATATAGACATAAGACAACAACTACCCCAAGATTGTCTCATATGTAAGATATGAAGGTGATGGGAGAGGTTTGAATGATTAATCTATATATGATCAGAACTTTTAAGAATGTGTTAAGCAGATAGATAGGAGCAGGTGGTTTAATATTTTGTAATTAGTTCTTGAGATTCATTTGGCATTCTGTCTCCTAATAAACTTGTAGAAAATTAATTCCATTTTAAAATCAAGGCAAATGAGTACATGCTGGTTAGGAGATCTTGTTTCTAAAAATGTTTCTTTGACTTTATGTATGAATCACAGGTTCTCTGTTTTGCTAAGCAATTTTGTTGTGATTTAATATCGGGGCTATCAAAAAAGTGAGAGGTAGAATACTGAAAGAATGTTTAATTTATTGAAAGAGGAGCAATTTTTTGTCTTTACATATACACATACACGAAACTTAATGAAATTTAAAATGATTATATTGTGATGTAGAAATTATCTTGTCATTATTTCTGGCATGTTTCATTCCTTTTTTCTTTAAAGATAAGTTCTGCTACTGATGTCCATTTGTCACTTTAAGATGATAGGTTTTTTGGTTTTTTTTAAGAAGAAATTTACTGAAGTTGACAGTCATTTAGTTTTATATTTGCTGCCAGCATGGAATGTTTGTGTATGTCATTAAAAAATTAAATGTATCACAGGTATTTGAATGCCCTTTTCTACTTGATAAGTAATTCCTAAGGCTAAGATGAAAAAAATTACTGGGTTCTATTTTTTTTTTTAGTTGTTGGGCTCTATTTTTTTTTAACATTGTTTCTACCATACAGATGATTTGCTTGTGTTGAACTGTCCTCTTGGGAAATAAGAAGGTGCTACTTTTATTCTTTTTTGTATGTTGAACATTTAAAGCTCCCCCCCTTTTTTTAGCTTACTCTGGTGATTTATTTTTTATTAGGAGAGAAGTAATAACTGATCTTTGAAGTTTATATACCAATATAGACATAACAACTTCACTATCCTTAAATTTAGCACAGCACTTTCACTTTAAATGAAAATAATGTCAGTGCATCTTGACTACTAAGCCATAGCCTTGCAGTTAATTATGAGAGGCTGTGCTAGGGCTGTATAGTGATCCCCACAGCTCAGCCGGTAAAACTTTTGTGATGGTTACTTCAAGGTTAAGGTAGAATTTGGTGGTATTATATGATGGATACAATTTGGTTTTCATGTTTTCAAGATTCTGAAAGAAAATGCCCTCTGTTATCTGTTACAGGTCCTCAGAATGGTTGGAATGATCCTCCAGCTTTGAACAGAGTACCCAAGAAGAAGAAGGTACTAAAAAAAGATGTCCATCCAATTGTCTACAGATAGTCTGTTAATCATGTGGGCACCCAGAGCACACCATGCTTCCCTGCTCCTTTGAAAGGCTAGGCTTACTTACTGATACATTTAAAGTGTATTTCAACTTGCATCTTCTAATCCATGAAGGGAAGGAAAGAAAGTAGAAAACAGTTTAGTGGTATGAATTAAACCCTTTTAGAAGGCAAGATGTAAATTCCTAGTAGGTCTCTTTCAAAGAGTGGGAAACAAAATTTCAGGCTTCTCTGATTTTGGGGGGTTTTTTTTAGGAGTTATTTTGATCTTTGGGTTCCAATGGCAATTTGGTAATTACATTTTGAACTATTTTTGTCTATCACATATAATGTGAATGAAGAAATAGCCTTTTGTAGCCTTGTAGCTGAGCATTGTTTAGATGTCATTAACTGCTGAGAGCTGTTAGAGTACCAGATAAGGTTTTTCTTTCCTTCTTTCTCCCCAAGCCCTTTTTTTTTAACTCCTTGTGATTTCCTTTCCCCACATAATGTAATGAGAGGCCATAACATAAAATTGGGAGGCACTAAATGACAAGAAAACTCAAAATTTAGGTTAGTGATAATCAGAAATTTAATCTACTTTTAGTATAATAGAATTGACAGATAATATC